CCCGCCGAGTTGACGAGCACGCGGGCGTCGGAATCGCTCAGCCGCATGATGCGCGCGGCCTTGGCGGTGCGCAGGTTGTAGCGATAGATGTCACGGCTGTCGCCGCGCGTGTCGCTTTCCAGGATGACGTTGTCGGGGTCGCTGAGCAGGCGGTTCAGCACCGTCGGGTTGGCCAGCGCGGCGGCCTTCTTGGCGATCTCGGAGCGGGCGATGTCGGCGGACGCCATCGGCTCGATCCAGTTCTTGCCTTCCAGGTCCGTGAACAGCAGCTTGTTGATGAAGGTCTTGGTGACTTCATCGGCGCGCAGGTCATAGGGCTGTGTCATCTCGACCTGCAGCATGTCGTTCTTCAGGAACGACGCGCTGCGGATCTGCATGTTGCTGGCGCCGATGACGGTCGGCTTGGCGGCCAGTTCGGCCAGCTTCCAGACGAGGATGGTGCGGGTGTCGCCCTGGCTCTGGATGGCCAGCATGTGCTTGCCGTCGGGCGAGATGCGAAAGCCGGTCATGCCGGGGAACTGCGCCAGCGTCTCGAGAGTGGGGACGCGGATGGCGGGGTCGGCGGCCTGCGCAGTGTGGCTGATTGCCAGTGCGGCACCTGCGACGGCGATCAGCCGGCCCAGGGTGTTCAAGTGGTTTTTCATGCGAATCACGCTTAAAAAAAAGCCCCGGCAACCCACGGGTTGCCAGGGCTTCAGAGCACCAGGTGATTAGAACGACTTGGAGACGTTCATGAAGAAGCGGCGACCGAAGTAGTCGTAGCCGCTGTACAGAGGCGCATTGCCGGCGCGGTTCGTGAAGCCCGACGAGACGGAGGGCGGCGTCTTGTCGGCGATGTTGCGCACACCGACCGTGGTCTTCCACTTGCTGACCGAGTCGCTGTAGGACAGCGACATCGAGTGCAGGAAGTAGTTCGGCGTATCCATCTTGTAGCGGCTGGTGGCCGGATCTTCACCGTAGTAGGCATAGCTCGACGTCTTGCCGACCCATTCCGTGCCGTAGTAGGCCGTCCAGCCCTTGACCGTGTACTTCACGTCCAGAGCGCCGGACCAGCGCGGCACGCTGACGCGGCCGTTGCTTTCGGTCAGCGGGTCGGTCGTGAAGATCTTGCTGGCTTGCGAGTGGTACTCGGTGGCCTGCAGTTCGACACGCAGCTTGCCGATGCCCACGTCGTTCGTGTAACGCAGGTTGTAGTCGTAGCCACGGACGACGTCGGTCGACAGGTTGATGTAGCTGTTGTTGACCGTCAGCGCGTTGGTGGTTGCGTTACGCGTGATCAGGTTGCAATAGCCGCCACCTGCGCGGAACTTCGGATCGTCGTAGCACAGCGTCAGGATGTTGGCGACGCCGGCACGCGAGACGCCGTTGTCGACCTTGACGTCGAAACGGTCCAGCGCGAACGTGAAGTCACCAAAGCCCGTCGGCAGCGTCGGTTGCAGGATGATGCCCCACGACGAGTTCTTCGAGGTTTCCGCAGCCAGACCGGAGTCGCGGCCACCCTTGGTGATGGACGTGATGCTCTGCAGCTGCTGGAAGTTGGCGGCCAGGCCTTCGCTGGCGCAGTTGGTCGCGCGCTGGGTGCCCGGGGTGGGCGTGTTGCACGGATCGCCAGCGTTGCTCAGGAAGCCGGTCGTGGCGCCCACGAACTGCTCGAACAGGGCCGGAGCACGGTAGGACGTGCCGTTGGTGCCGCGCAGCGAGACCCAGCCGGTCGGGGCCCACAGGGCACCGATCTTGTAGGTCGAGCCCGAACCGTAGGACTTGTAGTCCGCACGGCGCGCAGAGCCGTTCACCGTCAGATCCTTGGCCAGCGGCAGGTCCTTCAGCAGCGGCACTTCGATTTCGGCGAACACGTCGGTCGCGTTGTCGCTGCCACGGGTCGGCGTGGACGACGTGAAGTTGTAGATGTTGCCGGTCTGCTGATCGATCGACGGGGTGTCGTCGATGGACATGCGGCGGAATTCGGCGCCCACGGCACCCTTCACGTCGCCGTAAGGCAGCTTGAAGAGCTTGCCGGTGGTCGAGGCCGACACGATGTCTTCCTTGTACTTCGTCACGCCGGTGAAGTTGTCGTAGACGAAGCCCAGCCAGGCGGCGGGCAGCTGGCCGGCCACGACGGCCGAGGTCAGTGCCGGTGCGGCGACGCAACCGTTGGCCG